ACATCCCTACATACCCCCCATATAATATAGGGATATCCTATTTACCGCTACATTCCCTATAGATGTCCCCTTTTACCGTGACCCAGGCCACCTATTGGGGCTTGGTGCTGGGATCCCTGCTGCTGGCGGTCGTCTCCGACTTCCTGGGGATCATGAGGCGAAGGTTTAGGGTCTAGGGTTTCGAGCTTAGGGCTTAGGGGGTTTAGGGTTTAGGGGTTTAGGATTTAGGTGATTTAGAATGCATTTTATTGACGTTTTTTTTTTTGTTTTCTTTTTGTATTTTTTTTGGCGCCGATAAGGGTTTGGGGTTTAGGGTTCCTCAAATAGGATTTAGGAGGAACCCATATCATTCTTGGGTTTCAGGGCTTGGGGGATTTTGGGTTTCGGGCTTGGAGTTCCTCAGGTGGGGTTTAGGGGCTCCAGGGGTTGAAGTTGAAGGCCAAGGGGTTAAGGGTTGCAAGGATTAGGGTTTAGGGTTTAGGGTTTAGGGTTCCGGGCTTCAGGACTCTAAACCCTAAACCCACCCTATTTCAGGGCTTGGGGGGAAAAACCGTAATCCCTAAACCCGAAACACGGCTCCTTAATCTTGTGCGTGTCAGCCACCAATACCTTGGTATAAGGACCCGTAAAAGGGACCCTAATGTTTTGCATAATCCCTAAAGGGAAATCCTACAACCCTAACAACCCTTAAAAACCTTGGGTTTGGGGTTTAGGGTTCAGGGAGCACTAAAACCCTAACAGCCCTAAACCCCAGCAGCTGGGAGGTTCCTGCTGAGCCTGAACCCCGATGGCGCGAAAGAGCTGGGGCTTGATGAAGTCTACCCGGCGGCTTTGCATTTTTGGGGGTATTCAAGGTATTTAGGGTTTAGGGTATTATATAGAACTATAACAGGTTTTAGGGCTTTAGCGTATTTTATAGAACCATAATATTAGGGGGCTTAGAGGGAATGGAACAGAAAATGGAAACTACTATAATGGGGTTATAAAGGACTAGAATATTCATACTAACTTTTATCTCATACAAACTATTTTAAGGGTTCTAAGGTTTTATGGTATTTAGGGTATTTAGGGTTGGGGGTATTTAGGGTTGAAGGTTTTACGGTTTAGGGTTGTAGTTGGGTGTTTCTACGTTTAGGTTTTAGAGTGTTTAATGGTTCCTTGTGCTTCAAAAGTTCAAGGAGTTGCATGATAGATATGTATGTGTCATTCTTTTCTGCTTGTTTCTTATTCCCTGAACCCTAAACCCTGATGTTTTTGCGTTTCTTGAAGGCTTAGGTTTGAGTTCTTTCCTAGGTTCCTAGCTTCCTAGGGCCTAGGCTTTAGGGTTTGAGGTTCGGGGTCCAGGTTTAAGGTTTGTGCCATAACTTGTGTCCGGGCAATATTGAGGTCTTGGATGCGATGAGCCATGATATGATAGGAAGCCTGTAGTGGCTACGTAAGAATGGATAGCCCTAGATGCTCACGAAAGGCCTCTTCACTACATACTTACATACTTCCTGTACACTCTCCACAGAACCCTAGTGAGATCCTCCTGTAGCGCATCTAAAATCCCGGAAGAATACACCCTTCCCTCTGAGATCAAGCAGCCCCAATCCGCCCATTTGAGCCATGGTCTAAACTCCTAGTATCCCCCTTAACCAGCCCTTTAATGATTCCCTAGATAGTCCCCTATACAACTCTCTTTCAGGAGTTTTGACTATAGCTCATTTTGAAAATGGCCCCCCCAAGCTGAGGTGGAAGGGCTCAAGACGCTGCTGGGCTCAGGATTGTAATATCCTCTTGGGTTCGGGTTGTAGCGTTTGTAAAGGGTTTTCAGGGGTTATGTAGGGGTATATAGGGGATATATAGGGTAATGGACGATTAAGCTCAACAGGAAATTGAGGAAATTAGAATAGGCCAACAAACCTTTCAAAACCCAAACAAGTGTTTATAGGGTCTAGGGTTCAAGGATCTCTTGGATCCCTAAGCCCTAAACCCTTTGCATTTTTTTGGGGTGTGGGTTGTTGTAGATAGCTGCAGAAAGGATCCTGCCTCTTCCTGGAGGAATACGGGCCTAGTAAGCCCTTAGGTTTAGGGGTTTAGGGGTGCAGGGGCTTCAGGGGTTTTAGGGGTTTAGGGCTTCAGGGCCTAAAGTCCCAAACCTTCACCTTGTGTTCAAGGTATCGCCAGCAGGGCCGCTACCGACTGCGGTATCCCGGCGAGTCCCGACTTCATTAAAAGCCTTTTGGGACTGCTGCAGCTGCTGCTACTATTCCTGCTACTGCTGCTATTACTAGGACGACGACGGCGACCACTACTACTACTACTACTACTACTTCTACTACTACTACTACTACTACTACTACTTTCCCTAAACCCTAGCCGCCCGCTAAGCCATAACCCCCAAACCCTTTAAGGGATCACAGCCAGGAGTGGTTGTTCGACCAGAGCGTGGCCTTCTCAAAGCAGGCGGCCATCGAAGTGCCAACGCTGAGGACGGAAGAGGGGTTTGAGATTGGCAGAATGAACTTTCGGGGGGGGTTAGGGTTCAGGGGTTTAGGGCTTCAGGGTTTTAGGATTCGAGGGTTTAGGGGTTTAGGGTTTAAGGTTTAGGGGTTTAGGGTTTAGGGGTTTAGGGTTTTGAGGTTTAGGGGCCTAGGGTTTAGGGGATTAGGTTTTAGGTTCTTGTGGTTGAGGGGCTTAGTTCAGCGCGGGAGTTCAAGTGTTAGGGTGTAGTGTAGGTCGCAGCATGAGATATAAGGTTTTCAAGTCTTTGAGCTAAGGTTCTGAGATCTTTGGTCTTGAGGTTCGAGGAGGATTTGGAAAGGGAATGCCGCAGTGCGGATGCATATAGTAGTTTCTCAAAATAGCCCTTGTATAATCCCTACATGCTCCCCACGATCTTCTTAGAATCCCCATGCATGCATATGGAACCTCATATTGAGCTACTGTTAATACTAGGTGTATTCAGGGACCCTTAACCGTGGACATAAGGTCTTTCTGGTACTTTACTATAGTGCCTTTCATTTTCGCTAATATGGAGCCCATGTCCATTAACTATCTGGGAAATGTTGATTGTGGCTCATATTGCAGTTTCCCGCCTTATTATGGGGACCCCCAAAAAGGTACCCCTAATTTTGGGAAACTCCCATATAGCCTCCTTTCGCCAAAGATCCCTGCCCAAGTTTTTCTGACAGACGTCCCTCCCAAACAGGATGCATGTTTAGGGTTTAGGGTTTAGGGTTTATTTTTTTTTAAGATCTGGGTTTGTGGTTTAGGCTGCAACGTTGGGGCAAGGGTTGGGACGTAGGGCTTGGAATTTAAAGTCATAGAGCCGCCTCCCCATGATAAAGCCCAGGAACTACACCTTCCAGCACCGTACCATTACACATTGCGGGGGGCATTTCCATAAAAAGCGCGGTGCGGGCGTTCATCATCCAGGGGAAATTACTGTACTCAGAAGCCCAGTTACGGGGATAAGATAGGGGTTTGTTCGGGAGCATCTAGGAACCTCTAGGGCTAGATCCTGTACGTAAACCTCAACTATAGAAACTAAACCTCACATCTTAAACCTTGAGCCCTACATGCATCAAGCCACGCGGGCGACCTGCAGGCAGAAGAAGCGGATTGTGCCTGATGCGGGCTTCGGTCCGGCAGGCAGGATTTGAGCACCCAAAGACACAGTGGGGCTGTTGCAGTACACTATCCGAGAATTCTACACCGATCATGTCGCCAATAGTTCAATCTTCTACAGTTCTCACCCAAAACCCCAAACCCAAAACCCTCAAAGCTGCTCAAAACTGCAAGGCCTGAAGCCTTGAATCTCAACCCTGAAACAGTCAGGCTTCACGGTTTAGGGTGTAGGGGGTGTAGTAGCTTGAAAATTTGACATATGAATTGCTTGAAGGTCCTGTAGTTATGCCTAGAAACCAAACCAAAGCCCGATTTAAGGTATTGAGTGCCTGACGCCCCAAACGCAAAGCCCCAAACTCAGCACAAAACCTGTATACTCAATCCTCAAGCCCTGCTACTCCTACCAGCCCCACCTAGACCCAAATGGGTAACTCCTAAACCCTAAGCCCTAAACGCTAGACCCCAGACCCCAACCGCGCATGGCAGCCGTAAAACAGCCCAGAAACCCAAAATAAGCCATTCAACCCTAAACCTTAAAACCTAAAGCATTTAACCTTCAACCTTAAAGCCTAAGACCCTAAACCCTAAATCTCTAAATCCCTAAACCCCTAAACCATCCTAAACCCTAAATCCCTAAACTTTAAAATCACTGGTTGCCCATCCGGTTCGAGGCGGTGGCCTGGCTACGCCCGCAACGGCGCAGAATCTCTCCGTGGTGCTTCAGATCCCATTATGGGATTTACGGTTTAGAAGTTTAGGGTTTAGGGGTCTAGGGGGTTCAGAGTTTAGGGATTTAGGGTTAAGGGTTTAAGGTTTAGGGTTTAGGGTTTACCTTAATTAGCGTTATTGTTATGTCATGTAATAATCATACACTGTCAGCAATGCAAAATAACGCTTTCAGTATAATCACAAGAATGATAACAAGGTTAATTCATAAGCCATGTGGGTCTGGGGTTTCAGGGTGGTCGGGCTCCAGAGCTTTCCAGGGTTTAGTTTTGGGTGTCAGTTCCTGCGGGTTTTCAGTCTTGCCTGCAGGTGAGGATTGTCTCAGCACGAGAGACATGGGGTTAAAGCCCTAAACTCTAACCCCTGAGCAACGCCGTTAAGGGTTTAGGGGCTTGGTTAAACCCAGGCCCTAGCCCAAGAACATAGACCCCAAAGTCTGCGCCAGAAGCTTAATGCCTGTAAGGCCAAAACCCCGAGTCCGAAGCCTCATACCCAACGCCGAAACCTCAAATCTCAAACCCTAAGCCCTCAACCCCCAACCCTAAACCCTTAACCCTTAGCTCTCCACCCTTGAGCTCTAAACCCTTAATCCCAAACTTGGCCTGAACCCAAAACTTCCAAAACCCCAAACCCGACACCGCGTAGATTCATGGACCCCCAAGGTCATTCAGCCTGTGAAGTCCCAGCGGCTGGAGGCGCAGTTTAGGATTTAGGATTTAAGGTTTAGGGCTTAGGATTTAGGGTTTAGGGTTTAGGGCGCTGGGGCTTCCTCAAGAAGGGGTGCCTCTACAATTTGGAGGTTTAAGTCTAAGGTTTAGCGTTTGTGGAGGCGGACCTGAGGGCAGGAGTACAACAGGAATATTGGGCTTCGCCATTCGGGTTTGTTGAAGAGATGTTATCTGAAGTTCTTGAGGGTTCAGATTTCGGGGTTTTAAGGGCCTCTTGCCTTTTGCTTGGATTTGAGAGTTGGGGTTTGCAGGTTGTGGAGTTTAGGTTCAGGATTTAGGGAGTTCATGTTTTATGGTGTGTTGTCGGTGTTTAGGATTAGGCGTTGGTTGGCATTTCCAGGGTTAGGGAATGCAGCTGAGGGGTTCAGGGGCTCAGAGCTTTGGATGTTTGGGCTTTAGGGTTTAGAGTTTAGACTTCGAGGACTCTCTGGCAGAACTCAGCACTGTCTCACGGAGAAGCAAGAAGCCCATAGCTGTTTCCATACAACCTTCAGATCAAGCTTCGTACAGCTCGCGCACCCGCGACTAGTTCTCGACTTTCTCCCCGGAACTTATTTTATTTGAAATTGAACTACAGACCTGAAACCCCTAGGCTGCCAACCCTAAAGCTAGAATCTATGGGAGTTTCTTGAAGTTACCTTTGGAGAATCCTGAACATTTTGTAACCACCATCTACGCCTAGGGTCCCAAAGCATAATCCACAACATGGTGCCCATGATCCCGCTGCTGTGCACAAAACAACACAAAAGTCCCGAAGGGTACCTCCTGTACAACCGAACCCAAAACCCTAAATCCTAAACCCCTAAACCCTTAAACCCTTAAACCCTTAAACCCCTTACCCCTTAAACCCTAAACCCTAAAACCCCTAAACCCTAAATCCTAAATCAATTAGACCCAGTTTTGAAGACAGCCATCCGTACACGAAGACAGGATCTCATGGGTGAGCCAGAGGACCGGCGGGCCGCCTTTTTTGCCTTTTAAAAAGGGGTTAAGGGTTTACGGTTTACGGTTTTGGGTTTTGGGGCTTTTAGGTTTAGGGCTTCGGGTTTTGGGGCTTTTAGGGTTTAGGGTTTAGGGTGTCGGGTTTTGGGGCTTAGGGTTTTGGGTTTTGGGGCTTAGAGTTTTGGGTTTTGGGGCTTAGGGTTTTGAATTTTGCGGCTTAGGGTTTACGGTTTCAGGGTATCTTCAAAATGAGGGAATACGGGTCGTGGTTTTTCAGCAGTTCAGGGCTGACAAGCTCTAGGCTGAGGTTTTTCCGTGCGCGGGATTTAAGTCTGAGCGTGAGGGTCTTACGTTTGGGCTGCACGTCTAGTTTGTAAAGTATTAAAAGGACAGGGCTGTCCTACTGCCATAGCTGGGTGCCTGCAAGGCAAGGAAAGTATTTAAATTGCACGTCCATGAAGGAGCTTAAAATACTATTTCCATGATATGGACATCCAGTGGGTTTGTACTGCAATTTACTACGTAAGTTCCCCAACAGTAGCTCGAACCCGAAACCCTGCCTCCAGTGCGTGAGGAAGCGTTCCGCAAGCTGGCGGCCGAAACGCTAGCGGCCGAGGCTCCTAGGGGCTGGGTTTAGGTTTTAAGGTTTGTGATTTAGGATTCAGGGTTTAAGATTTAGGTAATCCCGGGACTCTCCTATTGATACGGTCCTTATTCTAGGGTTGGGGAACTAAAATCACCCCATCAGTGGGAGAATATATTCGCGGACCCTGAAGGGAATTACAGGGACGTGAGGGTTTGAGGTTGAGAACGTAGGGGCCCTTAGGGGCGCAGCATCTTGAGACGTAGCCATGCCGGTGGCCACGTCTTCAGCTAGAGGTCTTGTTTACATCCGGATTCTCTTTTCCGGTTTCTTTGCACATCAGCTTTTGGTTGGTCAAAAGGCTTTCGCAAACCGCCCGAAGTCACCAAAATAATGTTTATCGCGGTCATGCAGGGAACCGGGTAAATCCCTTCCTCCAGACCACCAACTCTACAAGAATACTGGAAGCATTCAGCCAAAGATGTTCGAATGGTAGTTTATCTAGTTTTTGAAAATAGGGGGTAAAACAATGCATGTTACTGCAGCATCGTATCAGAAGAACGGATTCGAAAGTCTGAGTTGCCAGAAAATGGAAATTCTTGAAGCACTTTAAAACTATGACATTTTAAGGACAAGCCCCAACCCCTGAACCTAACGCTTGGCCTCAAGCCCTAAATTCCAAACCCTGTAAATCTTACGCCCCAAGCCCTAAACCCAATCCTATTACCTGAGAAAAGATCCTGAAACCCTAAACCCCAAATTCCCTACACCTGTGAACCCTGAACCTCTAAATCCTAAACCCCTGAACCCTAAACCTCGACAACCCCTATACCCTAAATCCTAAACCTTTGGGATCCTTCTGCTTGCGGATGAGGGCTCCGGGAAGACTGCGGAGCTCGTGTCGGCGGGGCGAACGGCGCGGGGTAGCTATGAGCTGGTGTCTGGGCTTTTAGCTATGATGAAGGGCTGTTTGGGCCTCAGGGTTTTTTGATTGTGGAGTTTTTAGGGCTTATGATGATGGAGGGCTTTTGAGGGTTCTTGGGGTTCAGGGCTTGGGGCTCGGGCTGGGTTGAGGGTTTGGACGTTTAGGATTCCAGGGACCCTCTCACAACCCTCTGGGCGGCGCCCGTTGCAAAGAAAATGCAATGGCATCCGCAGGGTTCTAAAGGGACTTTCCTTTTGGCGGTCCTCTAAGGCAAGTTTGATGGTGAACAGCTTCTCAGATAATTAGTCTGCAAATTTTGACAACCGTGCTCCTTTTTGGAAATCTTAAATCTGGAGTCAGTGTGGGTTTGGAGACCTTGGTAGTTAGATTCACCGAAGGAAACTTGAAGGCGCAGAGTACTTACTCATGCTAAAATGGGAATGCGAGTGGCTCCCTATAGTTTCCCTTCATGTATAACTCGTATAATCTCCACGCAAAGCCTTTGAACTAATCTTTTCCCCCGTCCCAACTAAGGATTAGTAAGCTTCGAGGGATTGCAGTTCCAGCTGGCCCATTTCCCAAGCATGGGTTTGCACAATTGAGGATTCAGGGTCCACGGTCATATACTGCTCTGAACCCAAAGGCTGTAAACCTCGATGTATAGATTAGTTTGAGATGCCTTGAGGAAGAGAGAGCCCACGTTAAGGCTATCTACCCAACGTAAGAGGGCGAAATATAGGGGCCTAAATAATTACCAATTTTATGGTTCCATCTTCCTTGTATAATTACAGTATATGGTACCTCAAATGGACCTCAAAATGATATTGGTAGTTATTTAGGCCCCTGTAGTAGGCCTACAAGCCAATGGGGGGGCTCCAATTAGCCTTTCTCCAGCAGTTCATAGCTTTGCCGAGGAATATTTGGTCACTTTCCCTGACAAGGCGCCCTGGCGTTGGATCAGCTAGCCTCAAGGAAGTGTTAACGCTGCGGGGTCTATGTGCGGGGGTGTCCATAAACAGGGGCCCCCGGTACAGACTTCCACATACTATAATCCAGACTCCCAAGCAGGGGCCCTTAATGTTCTCGAAGCTACTGCTCGGATGTTGGATGGGTATGGCATCCAGAGCAAATTGGTCCTCCCTTGGTATCGTGCCCCGAAAGTGTGTTTCTGCTACTCGTGCTACATGGCTCCAGCCAGGCATCCAAAGAACTGCTGTGTTTGATGTGCACCCGGTGCTTCGTTGGGACAAAGGGGATGGAGGTCCTTGTATCAGTCCGTCCGCATAGTCCCACAGAATTGTCCCTGAGACCTATTCCCCCATTTGCTACCGCCCTAAACCCTAAACCCCATAAGACCCAAATCACATACTCGTTTCCATCTTTTCTTCCATTCCTGCCTGCATTTCCTGCTGAGCACCAGCAAGGCTGTCTCCGCTGAATCCCACGGTTCTAGGCCTACGGGCTAAAGGTCTGCAGGTCGAGCTTCCAATGGGTGTGCAGTATACGAGGTATAGTCTTTCATGGGCTCTGGAGAGTCTAGGCAGGGTGTCATAGGAATATTGGTGAGCGTAGATGTTGGGCATCAACTTTGTAGGATGATAAAAGACGTAGCTCTTGGAATTTGGGCCATTCAAGAAGAGCCTCGTCAGGCTTCGGAACTTGAATCCTAAACCACAATCCCGAAACCCCATGTCTTAAACACCCAGGTAGCGGTCACTCTCTGCCGGCTCCGGGCCTAACATCTTCACCGTTTTGAAGAGGTAATCCTTCCCTTAATAATGACCCTCCAATCCTCCTAATGGTAGATATTTATTTCTTGAACGCATCATGGTATCATGCTAGGAATATTTTTACTGGCAGAGTAGGGGGATTGACTTTTCGGGGCAAGATTAATGTGGAGGCCTAAATAATTTGGAAGTGTATCCCTTACCGTCTTCTCCCACTTATAGATTAGGATATGGGGTTCTAGGTTCAGGGTTACATGTTCTAGTTACTGGTGCCCTCCTGTTAGCAGACAGTACTTGTGTGAGACCCGCACCGCTAGTTTGATTCTGAGCTAACTGTGAAGCTATCAGAATCCAAGCGCGTCGAGACAGGAACTGCGGGGGATGCTAGCACAGCTCCAAACTCCAATCTGTGGGCCCCACACCCTGAACCTCAACTTATTGGTTCTTAGTTGGTAATAAGGCAATATATTATGTAGAGGTTTTACGTAGGGACCATAGCTGCTTATTCCCCAATAAGAACCAGTAAGTCAAAACATCTGAGGGGTCCGCCGTAACCATCCACTGCTGGTCAGTGGTGGCCCTGGCTCCTAAGAGGCCCACCAGCGCGCTCTACACCATGCTCCTCAACTTCTTTTGAGAGGTCTAGCAAGGATATCCCCTAGAATTAGGATCTTCTTGCATGCGCCAACAGTAGTGCAGCGCTTTATATAGCTACCCCAACAAGCGAAGGAGGATGTGGAGAAAGCCGCAACTGGCTTGTACAGATTGTCTTCGGAACGCTCAAAGGGCTTGTCAGTGTCGCAGAGGGGTTATATGACCCCTTTCTCAGGCTTGGGTATCAATTGGGGGCTTCCTCCCTTGTGCCTTGGGGTTGGGAAGGATGAAGTCTCTAATCAGCCGAACATCAGGGTGTTAAGGACATTATTGCAGTTGCTTTGTAAGGCACAGGGCTTAGTCTCGTTTGGTCCCCTTGAACGCGGAATCTTTCTAGTTTAGGTTCCCAAAGCCCTAAACCCTAAACTCTAAGGGGTTTAGGGCACATGGCTTGGAGGCGATTGCGAGCGCCGCCGACTTTACTCTCCAACGCTGGAGATTTAGGGAATGCACGTCTTCAGCAGCTTTGTGATCCCAGTGGTTTAGGGTTTAGAGTTTAGGGTCTAGGGCTTTGAGTAGGAAGACCCTAAACCTTAAGCCCTGCAAAACATCAACTTGTCGCCGCAGCGCCCCAAAACTTCCGCTCACGGTTTTCTTTTTCACTCCCTCCCAGTGTGCAGTAAGGACGTTGGTGTCTCCGGAGCGCCTGCTTACGGAGCAAACCCGCCAGCTCTTTCAACAGTCCTGGCATAGCTTTGAACTTGAGACCGGGTGAGCGAAAACGGCGCCAGCTTGGTTTTTGGGCCTCGGGACTTCAGAGTGTAGGTCGGAGAGCTTAAAAAGGGGTGCTAAGCTAAGGGGTGCTAGCGGTTGGAGAGCCTTCGAAGCAGTTGCCCAGCTTGGTGCGATCCAGGGATAGGCAAACCTTTGTAAACTTCCTTGTTCTGGTTGGGTTTGGACCATGGCCTGTCTGAGCCATCCTAAACACACAACCCTACACCCTAAACCCCAGCCCCCAAAAAACAATCATTCAATTGTTAGCCTAAATCCCCTCCCTACAGCCCCCAACACCCCCCAACGCCCCCCAACACCCCCAACAACCAACACTCCCGAATAATGAATTGCACACCTCTCTGTTCATGATTGCAGCCGCCGGGCTGTTGGGCCCAAGACCCCCCCAATCCCCCCCCCTAAACCCCCCAATAACCATCACTAACGAATCATGAAATGGCACACATCTCTGTTCATGCTTGTCAGCCGCCGGGCTGTTGGGCCCTAAGACCTCCCCCACATCCCTCCCTAACCCCCCACGCCCCAACAACCAACACTAACGAATAATGAATGGCACACCTCTCTGTTCATGATTGCAGCCGCCGGTGCGCGCTGCGCATAGGGAGGCGCGAGCTCCTCCGCCTGCGCCGGGATCTACCCGACGAGCTGCCAGCGGGCCCAGGGTTCCTCAGGGAGGTTTAGGGTTTAGGGCTTGGGGTTCTAAGAGGTTCAGGGTTTTAAGGGGTTTAGGGTTTAAGGGGTTCAGGGCGTTAAGGGGTTTCGGGTTTAAAGGGTTTAGGGTATGGGGTTGAGGGTTGACGGCTTAGAAGCCCCGACAGCCACCAGAGTCCCGACAGCCCCCTAGTTTAGGTTTTGGGGTTTATGGTTCAGGGTTTAGGGTTTAGTTGATAAGCTTCACGGAAGCCTGTTTTCTAAGCCCTTTTAGCTCCCTAAGATGCTGCGTTTAGCAAACGGGGAGACCTCCAGGTGACTAGAGCGCCGCGCTCACACCATGGAGATCATTGGGCGCACTGCTCACTGGATCACAGCGAATGTTGGCGACCAGGAGCTGTCATGGAAGGCGTGGGTGTATGGAGCTGGCGAGACGTTCTGGGAAGTCCGTCGAGTCATAGATACATGTTTCAATCACAAGACAAGCCTGAGCCATTGCAAAATTATCAAAGAGGTCAAGATCCGCTGCAGCATTTAGCAGCTTTGCAGGTGTGCACTAGGACGTTTGTTCTGCGATGTTCTGCTGGGGGCGGGGGGCGGGGGTGACTGCAGTGACTCAGGATGCAGTGGGCTTGCCGTTTGCACCGCCTCGGCTTCAGTTTCGAACAAGAGCTCCTCGCCTGATAAATGGTTTCGATTTTAGGGGGAATGCAGCATCCTGAACTCAAAAACTCGTCGCTCCTGCACGCTGCCCTCTTCGCTGCCAATATTGGTGGCATACTGCCGCTGCTTCTGCTGCTCGACATTGCTTCACCTGGGGCGGGGTTGGGATAGGCGTGAGGTTGCAGACTGGATGCCCCCCCCCCCGGCCCCGGCTAAGCCCTGAGCCCGTCCCCGAATCGTACCTCCCCGCGACAAGGTTCAAGGAGCCCAGACGAATGCTCCAAGCGAGAGCAGACGATGCACGTCTGGATAGCGGCATGCATGACCCCTACATCTGTGAGGTCGTTGTTTAAAACTGCGTGCATCACTTTTCAGTGCAGCCTAGCCAAGTTGCGTCAAGAAGCTGATGAAGCCACTGATGAACAGGAAGCGTCAGCATCCACTTGTGGCATCTTGGCCCTCCTCCTGGTGTGGGCTACGGAGCGTCGCCGCAAGATGCAGCAACAGCATGCAAAGCGGGTGTTGGTGGAGTGGCTGGAGATGCTGGTGCCGCAGGCAGACATACAGGCGTTGTGCATGGACGTGTGGCGTCAGCGTGCCAGGTGCGCGCACCTGGAATTGCTGGACAGGGTTGAAGATGTGCCCGGCCTGGTGGACGGCATGTTGCTCGTGGCTCATCCGCAAGAATATTGCTGCCGGGTCCTTGGGAGGCAGCTTCTTGTGGCGGCGTCAGCGCTGGTCAACCGAATCTGGGCTTCTGGCACGGATTTTATGTCTTGGTTCACGCGGCAACTCGAAACAAACTGGTTTTAAACTATGAAGGGGTGAGGGCACAGTACAGGCGAGGGAAGGCTGGGCTTTGGCAAGCTGAGGAAACGTCACCAGCAAGTCCAGCACCGATGTGGAGAAGAAGCACATGCTGGTTGGAAGCAGGAAGCGGCGTCGCGTCGACGAAGACCTGAAGGAGTTGAAGAAGCTTTGAACTTCATTATGGCTGTCTTGTCTTTGATGGGGGCTCAGGGGGTTCGGGTTTAGGAGTAACAATATTTAAGATTAGGGGGTGTAAATTGGGGTTTAGGCCGCCCTGTGTTTTTCTTGGTCCTGCATTATACAGGGAGGGTGTGCGGTGGGACCACCTGGGGCAGGATCAATAAAAATACAGGGTTTAAGGGGCTCAGGGGTTTCGGGTTTAGGGGTATAACCCTGCAAACCCTCTCAGCCTTAAGCCTTAAGCCCTTAGCCGTAGTTGAAAAAGGGCGGAGGCCCTCAACCCGTCCCCCCCCCCATTCTCACTGCGACTTGGGCCAGGGCAGGTTTCATTGCAGGGCGCCTGCGGTCGCTAGACGTCGTAGTCTGGTGCCTCGAGCGTGGAAACTGCTTGCAAAGCCCAGCGGATGTGGACGACTTCGTCCGGTGCTGCCCCATTGAGAGCCTCGGACTCCTCGTAAATCCAAAACCGTAAAACGGAAGAGCCTTGTGAAACTGACCTGATCCGTTGCTGACTACCTAGCCGAGTTGACTTCCCTAGCATAGCTTGCATATAACTGCGTAGCGTAGGGAGCGCCTCTGAGAGTATAGTCATGTCTGAGCGCTGATTATACGACCGACCGTAGGCGCCTTGAGCTCAAAGTCAAAAAGCCGGCTGCGTAGTATTTGGTGCTGTCCTCACGACCCTGTGCCAACTTCCAAAAGCCTTAAGCTGCAATAGGCTAGTTTCAAGACAGTAACTTGAATTCGATAATTCAGGACCATGATGGCGGAAGAAACGCATGAACTTTCGCTAATGAAGCCGGCCACCCCACGGATCCTCAAGAGCTACCTCGTTCAGCCATTTTGGCAAGAGGAGTGGGAGTCCCTTGAGCAGCAGAGCTTCTTCGTCCAGAATGAGGAGGACCCGTCACTCTTGGACCGTCTGGCGTCTCTTCACCTGGTTGGAGAGTTCGTAGTCGCGAATATCATGCAGTTCTGCGGCAGACTCAGCTGTCCTGGCAGTCCTTTCTTTGGTGCTCTCGAGGCCTACAATGCCGATGCTTCCGATTGCTGGGAAGATGAGAGTAACCGCTTCGGATCTCGCTGCCTAATGTCGACAAACACTGTCGAGTTCGTGGCCATGTGTGCGTAGCCACTTGTGTGAAATTGCTGCCTGTGTCCGAAAGCTCTTCAAGGACGTAGAAGGTGTGAACGTCACCTTCATTGGTGGTACGCAGCACCGGTTCACTATTCCGGAAAACTGGGCACGGTGGTGTATCTTGCAGCGCAGCACTTGCAAGGCTCATGTGGTCCTGAAGACGATCTGCGCACGCCAGGTGGTTTCCTGTCGGCGTGTCCGCAAGACACAGCTAAAAAATTGCGCTGTTTATGATTCCACAAGGCGAGCAGGTGCACAAAGGGACTATTCCAAATTAGGGCCTTATTAAAGACTATTTCAAGTTAGGGCCTTCCTAGACACTATTTCAAATTAGAGCCTATTAGGGACTAATTATTTCAAATTAAGGCCTTATTAGGGACTATTTCGAATTAAGGCCTTATTCAGGACTATTTCAAATTAGGGCCTTATTAGATACAATCTCGAATTAGGGCCTTATTAGGGACTATTTCAAATTAAGGCCTTATTAGGAACTATTTCATCCTAACCCCAAATCTTCAGACCCAAGGCCTTTGAACGATCAAGCGGGAACCCTAAACCTCTCACTCAGAGCTTAGGGTTAAGGCTTGAAGTGTGCAGAGTTTTGAGGTTTCGTATTTCAGAATAGTGTCACTATAGCTTATCCCCAGAGCATAGACCTTAAATTCCAAATCCCAAAGCCTAACCTCAAACCCTAAACCCCACAAAGCTAAACTCTCAGAACCAAAAAACCGTGCACCAAAAAGCCCCAAAATCCCTAAACGCTTAAACCGTACTACTGCTACTACTAGAG